CCACATAATCAGCATGGAAAGGAAAATGGTTTTCAGCAAGTGGTATCCGAATACTTAGATCTTTCTACCCAACAAAAGAACCACAACTTCTACCTCATACCGGAGGAATATTGTTTCACAGTGGATCGTGGATCTAAATATAAAACCTCAAACCGTAAAGCTTTTGAAGAAAAACACAGAAGAATATCCTAATTTGGTCATTTAGAAATGGACACATATTTTGTAGTTACAGAAAACCACCACCATAAAAAGAAAATTTGGGAAAAGAGAATCAGAATTCTGGAATTGTGCTCATCTGCACACAGCAAACCCCTGTAGGAAAATACCCACAAGTCCCGGCCAACGGCTAAGTCAGGATGTATGAGAAATGACCGCTCATTAATAAAAAGACAAACCATCATTTAAAATGGCCAAGTATTTTAACAGACGCGTCACAAAGGGAGATGTACGAACAGTCAAGAAGCTTATGAGAAGTGCTGAACATCATTAGTCATCAGGGAAACAGATGCTAGAACCACAGGGAAAACCACTACACCCACTAGGGTGTCCGGAAGTTTCAAAGACTGACAACACCGAGCTCCTAAGGATGTGGGGCACCTGGGATTCATCATCAGTAACAGGTGTACAAATGCTACAACCTCCTTGGAAGCAGTTCAGCAGGAGGTGTCTGTGTGGGTGCGCGCATGTGGTAAAACACACATAAGATTTAACATTTTCAATGGTCATGTGTTTTGTTTTCCTTCACTGTTCTAATGTGGTGTATCACCTCAGCTGATTTTAGATGCTGAGCCATCCTTGCATTACTGGACTCTACCGCATTTAGTCATGGCGTATGATCCTTTCCTGTGCTGCTGGATTCTGTTTGCTATTTTGCTGAGGATTTTTCTATCAGATATTGGTCTGTGGTTTTCTTGCTATGTCTTTGCCAAGCTTTGGTACTGGTAATGGTCTCCTTCTCAGTTGAACTAGGAAGTGTCCTCTTCTCAATTTTTTGGAAGAGTTTAAGGAGGATTGGTGTTAATTCTGTTTAAGAGTTTGGTAGAATTCACCAGTGAAGCTATCTAGTTCGGGGTTTTTCTTTGTTGGGAGGTTTTTCATTAGTGGGCTGAACGTCCTTACTAGTTACAGGTCTACTCAGCTTCTCATTCCTTCATAATTGAGTCTTAGTAGGTTGTAGGTTTCAAAGAATGTTAATTTCATCTACGTTATCCATTTTGTTGCAGTACAACTATTTACAATATCCCCTTACAGTCTTTTTATTTCTGTAAAATGGGTAGTTATGTCCCCCTTTTTTCCCTTGTTATTTTGTCCCACTTATACTTCTGATTTTAGTAATTTGAACCTTTTTTTCCCTTAGTCTGTCTAGTAAAGAATTTTCAGTTGTGTTGTAATCTTTTGAGAGGCCTGGCTTTTGGTTTTGTTGATTTTCTGTTTTTCTTTTCTCTGTTTTACTTACCTGCTCTAGCTTGTGATTTCTTTACTTCTGCAGGCTTTGAGTTTAGTATAATCTTTTTTAAGTAAGGTGTAAAATTAGTTGTTGAATTGAGAGTTTTCTTTTTAATGTAGGTACTTATAGCCATAAATTTCCCTGTCAGCCCTACTTATATCTCATCCCATAACTTTCTAGATGTTGTGTTTTCATTTCCATTTGCTTCAAGGTATTTTATCATTTTCCTTGTGATTTCTTCTTTGGCCCCTTGGTCAAGAGTATTTGATTCCCACATATTTGTGAATTTTCCAGGTTACTTCCTATTGATTTCCAGTTGCATTCCAAGTAGAATAAGTACTTTGTATTAAGATTAATCTTTGTACAGATTATTCTAATCTTTAAAATATTTATTAAGGCTTGTTTTGTGGCTGAACCTACATTTTATCTTGGAGAATGTTCCACTTACATTTGAGAAAAATTACGTATCCAAAGTGTTGCTAGATGAATGTTCTCTTAATGGGAGGTCCCATCAGTTTGTATTATTCGAGTCCTCGATCCCTTATTGATCTGTTTTATCCATTATCAAAAGCGCGGTATTGAAGTCTTCAACTATTATTGTAGGAGTATCTGTTTCTCCCTCCAGCTCCGTCCGTGTTTTCTTCCTGTAGTTTGGACTCTGATGTTTGGTGTAGATAGGCTTACAATTGTTGCATCTTCTTGGTAAATTAACCTGTTTTTTCAATATATAATATCTTTCTCTGTTTTTGACTTAAAAATCTATTTTGTCTGATAGCAGCATAACTCTTCAGCTCCCTATTGGTTTTTTCTTGGAATATCTTTTTCCATCCTTTCAACCTACTTGTGTCTTGATATCTGATAGAAAGCCTTTGGTAGACAGAATATAGTTGGGTCAGGTTTTTGTCCATCCTGCCAGCTATGCCTTTTGATTGGGGAGTTTAAACCACTTACATTTAAAATAATTACTGTTGAAGAAGGACTGACTTTTGCCATTTGTTTTCTTGATGTCTTACAGCTTTTTGGCTTTCTTTTTTTTTTTTTGTCTTTCCTGTTCCCCATGACTGCCTGCCCTTGTGTTTGATTTTTTTTGTAGTGATACCTTTGCTTTCCTCACTTCCTTCTATGTGTAAGTATTCTGGATTTTTGCAGTTAGCATGGTACAAACAGTATCTTAAAGTGAAGCAATTTGTTTTAAATTGATACCAACTTCAGTCATACATACGAACTCTTGTACATCTGTCCCCCACCCTACTTTGATGTCATAGGTTGATATATTGCTGTATTACGTATCCATTAATGGGGGGGATTCTTATGCGTGTCTTTTAAATCCTGTAGAAAAATAGTGGAACCGGGGGCACCTGAGTGGCTTGGTTGGGCAGCTGCCTTCAGCGCGGGTCATGATCCTGGAGTCCCGGGATCAAGTCCCACACCAGGCTTCCTACTCAGCCAGGAGTCTGCTTCTCCCTCTGACCTTCTCCCCTCTCATGCTCTCTCCCTCTCACACTAATAAATACGTAAAATCTTTTTAAAAGAATGAAAAAGAAAATAGTGGAATTACAAACCAAAATTATAGTAATACTGCTTTGTATGCCTGTGCATTTGCCTATGTGTTTACCTTTACTGGAGCCTGTTAGATCTTCATAGGACCCGGAGTTACTGTCCGGCTTCTTCACTCTCTCCAGCATTTTCTGTAAGCCAGACCCAGTACTAATCTGTCCTCTCCACTTGTTATCTGGAAGCGCCTGCGTTTCCATCTCGTTTTTGAAGAACAGCTTTGCCTGATAAGGAATTCTCAGTTGATGACAGGTCTGTCTGCTTCACGTCATTTCTTTCCCTGCCCACAGGCGTCCCAGGCTTCTCCTGAGAAGTCGGCTCAGCATCTTTCGGAGAATTTCTCCTAACAAGTCATTTTTCTCTTGCTGCTGTTAAGATTCTTTGTTTCTGGCTGACAGTTCGGCTATAACGTGTAGCGATGAGGTTCTGCGGGCTTTTATCTGGAGTTGTCTGGCTTCTTGGTGTCGCAGGTGTAGGCCTTCCTTCACGTGGTGGCAGTTTGGGGCTGTTGCTTCTGATGGCCGCTGCTGCGACTGTCTTGGCTGGACTCTGATAATGCATGTATCGATCCATTTGATAATGTCCCCAAAGTCCCTCAGACTCTTGTCACTTCCCTTCATGTCTTTTCGCTTTCTTCTCCTCAGACTCAAGAACTTCAAATGCGCTCTTCTGACCTGTCGTTGTTCTCCCCGCCCCCCCGCCCCCTGCTCACAGCTGCTGTTGGATCTCTCCCGTGGATTTTTCAAATCTATCTTTGCATTTTTTAGCTTCCAGAATTTATTTAGGTGCTTTTTATAACTTCTTTCTCTTTGTTGCTATTCTTATGTGGCATACATCATTTTCCTAATTTCCTTTAGTCCTTGGTCATGGTTTCCTTTAGCTCTTTGAGCAGATGTAAATGGTTGTTTTAAAGTGAGCAGCGCTTCAAGGGAGCAGGCCGGGGCCTGGGACCCGTTCCGAGGGTAAGAGTGGCAGCGGGTGGGGACCAGCTCCCCGGCCTGAGAGGAGTTTTCCTTGGGTCTTGCTGAATCTGGGACCAGTCCTCCCCTGAGCCCAGCCCCCGCCGCAGCCCGGCCAAGCCCCTTCCCACGGCCCCCTGGTGTCCCTCCCCGGTGCTCTCCTTCCTCGCCTCCCCTGGGCCACCTGCACCCCCAGCCCGGCGAGCTGCTCAGATGGTCGGGAAGGATGATCTGGTGCCAGAGCCAGGAGGATGTCCCCTCCAGATGGCTCCCCAGGACCCCAGCACCTTCAGTCACCACCCGCCTCATGGTTCCTTTTGGGCAGCCCACCGAGCTGGTGCCCACCTTACTTGCCCCTCGCGTCCCCTGCCCCTCGCGTGACCGGGGACCTTCAGGGGCTCCAGGAAGCCGTCCTGCGTCCCTGCGGACATCCCCTCACCGTTTTCTCCAGGACGCTGTGGTGAAAGCAAGACCTTCGTTTAGAAAAGGAGCTCCCTTATCTCTTTCAAGATAAAATTAAGATCCTGGGGGGAAAGGCGGGCTTACTTTCATTTTTTTGCAAATCTCTGGAATCCTAAAGACGGTCTGGAAGAGTCTGACACAAACGTGCTCATCTGAGTTGTTTCTTCACCTCAGGGTCCCGGGGGGTTCAGAACTTTTTCAAATAAACAACTGACCTGAGGGGAGCAGCAGCCCCTCTATCCTTCCTTGTGAGGGCGGCTTCTCTCCCAGTGCCGCGGCCCTGGCTCCGGGCTGCACGGAAGCCCCACCGGGGAGGCGGCTGGTGTGCGCGGGGCAGCCCCCGCCGTGTGCACCTGCTGCACTGGCCTCTGGCGCTCATGGAGCCGCTTCGGCAAGGAGCTTCCTGGGGTCAGGAAGGAGAGCTGGGCAGGGGATCTGCCGGCCGCGGGCTCCCACTCCGGGACCCCTGCTCTCTGGCTCGAGCCCTGGTCCCCGCTCCCCACGAGTTCTGGGGCCGCTCCTCAGGGAGCGGAGCCAGACACTGGAGTCTCCTAATTCGGGTTTTTTCTGCTTTCCAGACGGATGAGGAGAAGCGGCAGGACTTACCCGTGGTGATGCCGGTTTTTGACAGAAACACCTGCAGCATCCCCAAGTCCCAGATTTCCTTCATCGACTACTTCATCACGGACATGTTTGATGCTTGGGACGGTAAGAGCTCCGCGGCCGGCGCCCTCCACAGGCGCCCGGGCCCATGGCGTGGCTGGCCCTGGAATGGGTGTGGGGCTTAGTCTCTCAAGGAGGACAGAGGAAGAGAACCATGTCTTCCCCGAGGACCCCGGAGGCCTGGGTGCTCTTCCCGCCCCTCCCCTGCTCAGGGCTGCAGCCCGGCGAGGACGGGATGCTGGGGGGAGGAGATGGCCTAAGAGCAGCAGGTGCTGAGTCGGAGGCGTGAGGGAGGTGGGGGGGATTGGTGGGGGGTGGTGGGGAGCCGGACAGGGCCATGGGTCGGGGGCTCCACTGCCTTCCTAACCGCCCCGCCACCGGAGCTGATGAAAGGCTCCAGCAGATTCCGGCCCCTCTGAGGCTCCGGCCCCTCTGAGGCCCCTCCAGGTGTGGGCGGAGCGGCTGGGCTGAGGCCGGGAGCTGAGCGGGGTGACGCACCTGCCCGATGCCCCCGGCCCCCTCCGCAGTGCCGCCCCTTAGCCCAAAGTCCCCTGAGGCTGGGAAGGAGACCACATCCCTGTCCTTTTCTCCAGCCTTTGTAGACCTGCCTGAGTTAATGCAGCATCTTGACAACAACTTTAAATACTGGAAAGGACTGGACGAAATGAAGCTGCGGAGCCTCCGGCCGCCCCCCGAGTAGCACGCAGCACCGCCCGGGCCCCGGAGCTTTGGCCCTCGGCTCGTTCGGAATTCCTGAGGCAGCCAGAGGCCCCGGGCCCTTGCAGTATTAGGCCGAACAGTGCCAGGTCTGCAGAGCCCGTGAGAGCACCTGGGGCCGTCGGCGACCTTCTGTAGCCACCATGCAGTGCCGTGGCCACCAAGTGCGACCCGGTCCGCCCTGTGGGGCCTGCAGCAGGGGCTCTTCGGACAGTCCCCGGAGAGCCGGTGGCGCGGACTTTCCTCCGCGAGCTCAGAGGGACCCTCTCCAAAGGACGGGGAGGGGTTTTCTGCCGGTGACGGAGAATGTCCTGTTGCACACCCTGTCTCCACCCGTGTCCAGCACTTACGAGCCGCACCCGGCACTCGGAGCTTGAGGCCCTCCCCCCCGCCGAGAAGGTGCAGTCGCCGGCCGGGAGCACTACTGAAGGTGACTGCACTCTCACACTGAGCAGCGACTGAAAAACACAGAAGAAATTTTGAAGCTGATTATTAAGTACAAAGAAATTTTGAAGTTGATTAATATCAGTTATTAAAATGTTTTATTTATTTTATTAGAAGTTCAATATTTTCTATGAATTCTGAAATACTTCAAAGCCAAAGCCAACCTTAAACGCCATGACCAAATTTACATGATTCATATTCATTAAATATGTATTACTTGGTGTACAGACTTATTTTCATAATGCAAATTAAAACTATAAAATGACACCTTTTTACTGCACTACAGAAATATTTGTGTATGTTAGACTCTTTTCTGATTGATGCTCATTGGGAAAAGCGGTCTTGGGGGAGAGCCTGAGTCTGAAGCCCTCAAGGAGAGCAGCTCCTCTGTACAGAAAGCAGAGCCCTGGGACTCTCTGGTCATCTGATCGGCTTTGCAGGTGACTCCCCAAAGTCAGCGAAATTAAGACCTAACACTTTTTCCCTAAAATTTTATAATTGAATTCCCATAAATCTGCCTTATTTTATAGTACATTTCTACAAGATATTCCCTATGAAAGAACAAAAATGGAGTATTTAGTGAACTGACATTTTATACCAATCTGTTTTCATCTGAAGTGGGAGTCTTTGATTCCAGAAATTTATAAAAGGTTCTGTATCTTCACATTTTGAGTAAGTGTAGTACCGTAAAAAATGACACAGGATGACAATGTCAAAATGCTTGTTGTTTCATTTTAAAGTTGTATTTTTTTCCCGGACAAAAATGAAATTAAACTATTTGTTTTTAAGAAATCATGTGTCACCTTTTCTTTGGAGTCTGATTATACTTAAAATAAGACACCTTTATATTACAGAGAAGATTAATCGTTAAATGACTTTTTCAGGGTCACAAAAGGACAGATGAATATGTTGAAAACTTCTCACCACTTGGTTCCCACTCAAAGCTGTCGGGGCTGGCGCCTCAGAAGTCCCTTTACAGACCCCTTTTCCCATGTGAAGACATCTGACCTAGGTTGGTAACTGGGGACAGAGGTGGGAGAGCGCCCTCTCCTCTCCTCCCCTCTAGGCGCCGGGAAAGAAAAGGGAATGACTTCCCTGAGCAACTCAACCATCAGGAAGTAGAGAGAGCAGTGCATGCGACACCGCCCGAACTCCACCATGACCTGAAAGAGACTAAGAGAAATGTGCCTAACGTGTTTCAAGGGAGAAAAGCAGCAATGGAAACCATAAGGTAAACCAAGGTAATTTTAAAAATAGGTAGATTTGAGAAAGAACCTAACGGACATTCTAGATAGGAAGAATATAGTCATTGAAATAAACAGAAAACTTCACAGATTTACCAGAAGGCCAGACACAACTGAAGAGAGAAGTAGCACATTGGAAGACTTGGAAGTTACAACCCAGCACAGAGGTTTTAAATTAAAGCAAAATTAAAATACGAAAGGTTAAGTGAAATGCTTCAAAATACATCTGAATTAGATCAGTGGGAGAGGCACTAACTAAAGAAAGCCTGAGAGTCCCTCAGACTTAAAGGGTGCTCTGAACCCCAAGTACGACAAGCAAAATCCATCTACACAACACAGTGCGGAGCTCCAAGAGGAAAACCTCACAGTCGTGAGAAAAGACGGAGCACTTATAAGGGAACTAGTGTTAGACTACTGTCATTCTTTGGCCATCAGGGCCAGAAGACTTAGGAATAACCTCTTCGAAGTATGGAAGGAAACTGTCAGCCTAGAATCACATACTGAACTAAACTATTGCTCAAGAGTGAGGTGGTGGAGTACAGACAATTTTAGACACGTACGCAGCTCTTCGTAAACAGACCCCATGGGAAGAAATGCTGAAAGACTTCTCTCAAATGAGTCCAGAAAGAGCTGGCTTATGAAAGCAACAGTAAACAAAGAAACTGGTAAACATCTGGGAAAGGCTAAGTAAATACGTCAAGTGGGGCAGAAATAAAAGTGATGTATAATCAGGAGGGGCAGGTATGCAGCAGGCTAAGTTAAGTGTTGCGGAGGACCAAGGAGATGTTTATTACAGACTTTCAATATGATTACCTGGAAGTTAAGGGAAATTGTCAAAGGAATAAAAGAATATGGGATTTTAAAAGTGCTAAAAGGAAAGCTAAGTGAAGAAATAAAATGTAACGGGGCAAATCTGGGTGGCTCAGTCGGTTGAACGTCAGACTCGGTTTCGGCTCAGGTTGTGAGATCAAGCCCTGTATCAGGCTCTGCGCTCAGCAGAGTCTGCCTGAGAGTCTCTCTCCCCCTGCCTTGCGTGCTCTCGCACACGATCTCAAATCTTTTTAAAAAAGAAAATGTAACTAACGCAACCTCTAAGAGATAAATGGAAAAATAAACTGTGAATAAGACAGAGACAGAAATAAGCACAAGCACACAGCATCTACATCACACTAGACTAAAGATCCACGGCACTGGTAGTACCATGAGAGGAAACCTACAGGAGTAACAAATTCATAAGCAAAATATAGAAAGAATGCCTAGAAATCAAGAAGGGCAAAAAATCAAGGTATTTTAGACCCTTCCGATTAACAAGTTTTTAGCATCTGACAATACCAAGTCAAGTGTTGATGAGGGGATGAGAAAATGCGAACTTTCAAACTTCTGTGTAGGAGGTTAAGAACCACAACAGAAAGCAATTTGGAAATACCCACTGAAGTTTCTCAATTCAGCAGTTTTACTTCCAGATCCCAGAGAAATTTGCCCATGTGCACAAAAAGATATATTTAAGGATCTTCACACTCGGATTTTGTCACAGTGAAAAAGTAGCAACCATCTTAATGTCCTTAGTAGGAGAATGGATGAAGAGATCATGACTTCATACCCAGACCATGCTGTATTGTTGTAGACACTTTCTCCTCATGGTCCCTGCCTCTTGGGATCCACAACTTCGGGACAGACTTAGTAGTTTGCTTCTAACCAATAACGTATGGCAAAAATGGTGGTGTGCCACTTTTAAGATGTGGCTAACAAAAGACAATGCTTTCCTAGGGCTGCCCTAAAAAGTGACCACACATGGGTAGCTTAAAACAGCAGCAAGTTGTTTTCTCATAGTTCTGGGGATCCGAAATCTGCAATCAAGCAGTTGACAAGGTGGTTCCTTATGTAGGTTCTAAAGGGGGAACCATCCCATGCCTTTCTCCTAGCTCTTGGTAATTGCCAGCAACCCTTAGCATTCCTTGGCTCATAGATGCCTCCTTCTAATTTCTGCCTCCATTTTCACGTGGCCTCTGTGTATCAGGGTGACCTCTCCTCAGAAGGATACCAGTCACTTAGAGCCCACCCCGATTTCAAAAATTTCATCTCACAATCTGAGATGAAATGACTCTATTTCCAAGTAAGGCCACATCCTGGGATTCTAGGGGATCTGAGTTTTGGTGAATACTTCAACCCATTACAGACAGTGATATCCATCTTGGGCACACGCTCTTGTTCTTTCTTGCTTGCTCTAAAGAGGCAAGCTACTCTGTTGTGAGCTGCTCCATGGAGAAGTCCACATGGCAAGGAAGTGAGGGTATCCTCCAGCCCACAGCCGCGATGGAAGAGAGTCGTGCTGCTAGCAAACACACAAGTGGGCTGGAAACAGATTCTGCCACAGTCGAGTCTTTGGATGGGACCACAGTCCAGCAGACACCTTGATGACAGCCTCAGGAGAGACCCTGAGCCCGACAACCCAGCTAAAGATCCACACTTGGATCGTACCCACAGAACTCGAGTACTAAATGTTTTAAGCCAGCCAAGTTTACCGTAAATGATTGCACACTAACAAGTAACGAATCCATGTACTGTGTACAGCAGTAAAAATAAAGGAGAGCTAGAGATGTCAACTGGGAAAAAGCTTAAGATCAATACGAACGAAAAGGCTACATTTTAATAGGACACCAGTCACTTCAATTTTTTGAATACCCAAGACAGTACACTGTTGTTCATGGAAAAAGTCATGGTGGGAGCATTAAAATGTCAGGGCAGTTTACAAATACTCTGAGTTAGCTTGTGCAACACTAAGGTCTCAGTGTCCACACACGGTAGAGAGCCAAAAGCTTTCCCACCAAACTCCCTCACGCCTGCATTTCCGTATCTAATTTAGGATCACCGGTCAGATGCAACTGCACAAGATTCTGGGTTTAGAAGTGAGTCAGAAGGGAGAGAAGCACATGGAGGCCTACGTTTTGCGTGTCAGGAATGGCGCTCTGCTCCAGCGGCCGCAGTGGAATTCTGACTGTGGCACATGACAGTAAGGCTCTGGGGCCACAGCAGCGGACCTGGCCTCACAGCCCAGCCCAGCCCTGAAGCATGGCTTTAGGGAGACTTTCTGGGAAACTCAGCAAGACTCTGTTTCTGCAGTCCTTCCACTGATAAGTCCCTTCTGCTTCAACTAGATGGGGCGGGGGGCTGGGTTCTCTGTTCTCAAAATTAAGGAATCTGACCAAGAATGCCACACCCCAGCCAACTTCTTCAAAGTGGTTCTTGGGGGCAACGGAGGCACGTGTACTAGGGAGACCTTCAAAGGGAACTATCCTCATTTTGTTTTTTAAAGTAAATATCTAAAGCAGACAACAAAATATTAACATTTATTAAATCTGGTGATGAGTATTTATTTTTTAAATATGTTACTCTACTTTTTAATATGTTGAAATATTTTCTAATTTAGGTGGCTAGGAGAATATATTTACGTAGAGAAAGTCTTTCTAAGTAGTGTGTCAAACAGGGAAGCCCTATGAAAACAATGAAGTCAACTATAAAAGTTAAAATAATTATA